AGTTCAACATCTAATTTCTGCATGAAATTGCTTCTCTTTTTTCAAAGATTTCCTTGCACCGCAGCTACACAGATCAATTCAACTGGTTTGAACATTCTCACAACTCAGAGTCAATGCCATTCAATTGCCTTTCCCGCAGTATAACCAAAAGTCAGCATTTCTAACATGGGGCCTGCTCTGTCTCTCCAAATCCCATATCTTCACTCTCTGTCTGCAGTCTTTTGCACTGATCTTCTGTGACTACAGAGTTGTCCCGAGTGACCTATTAAAAACCTTCCAAGAAGCACCATCTATTGCAGGAAGAACTTAATGTTGACGCCTAGCAATGCTGGAACTGAGTATGCTCTGAAATCTACATTTCACACACTGAACATTTACTTGCTCAGTACAAAGAAGAGAATAAAACTAAATCATTTTAACATAAGGTCATTTTTCATCTGTTGATTGTGTATCTGTTTAGCCTAATGTATTTAAACTCCATTGTATAGTTTCTGGTGAACAAGATGATTCTGTAATCTCATCTCAACATTTCATTTCTTGCTGAGGGACCCTCCAGCCTTCAGGACTCAATATCAATTATTTTAGGGCCTGAGCACTTTCTTCCATGTCACCCCACACACACCAGGCTTTGTCATCGCTTGGGCTGCTACCACAACCAACCTGTCAGCTATCTATGGTCCGAATTAGCAGCTTTTTATTCCCTCAGGCTGACCTTTACCCATTCCTTTATCTGCCCAGCTGCTATTATCTCTCTCTGGACTCCATCTCCACCTATTGTTTAGTCTTCTCCCCATTCCATCTTCAGTATATATGCCAACCTTTTAAAAAGCTATAATCAGTTCTGAAGAATGGTCACTGGACTTGAAACGTTCTCTCTACAGATGCTGCCAGACTTCCTGAATTTCTCCCAACAATTTCTGTTTTTGTTTCAGATTTCCAGCTTCTGCAGTTCTTTGGGTTTTATTATGATAATTCAGTAAATACATCACTGATTTTGTGATGTGAATGGCTGAAAAGGTAAATGCCAAACTAAGTTATGACTAGAACTGGAGCTAGCTAGAGGTATGTTAGAAGTTTTCTTTCTTTATTCTTTCATGGGATGAGGGTGTCACTGACTGGGCAGCATTCATTGCCCATCCCTAATTGCCCAGAGGGCAGTTCAGAGTCAACCACATTGCTGTGGGTCTGGAGTCACATGTAGGCCATACCAGGTATGGCAGTTTGTAGACTTATATACTGCTGTGGAACTTTCAGTCATATAGTATGTTTCCAAACTCACTGAGTACCACTGGCTTTTAGAGATCTGTGATTTTTCATTGAGCACTGTGAAAAGATTTTATTCAAATGCCTTGTTTCTTATGCATAATTTTTTTCAATCAGTTGAGCATAGTTATTCAAACTGGTAATATAGTATTTGGAAATAGTGGCAGATACAAAGTTTACACTGCAGTTTAATTCCATTGGTAATCCAAACAGCTAGCTTTTCCTCATACCAAATTGACTTGCAAACGCTATTCATGGTTTGTAGAGACAACCAGTGCACCTGTTGATGGTTATTTTCCCTAATGCAGGGGAACAACGCTGTTGAGCAGTCATTTAATCACCAGTTGTTTGTTAATACCTTGGAGATGAAATTTCTTACCCTCAGGGACAAGACATCCCACCTCAGTGAGTTGTCTGCCAATTAGAGGTACACATAGTGCCAGCGGGAGTGATGGCCACTGCCAGAGATGGCCAGGTGCAGTGGATCAAAATTTTGTAGGTGTTTGGAAGCTTTCATGGGGTTTTTTGGGAGCTGGTGTTTAAGAGGCCTTGGTGGGGGGTGCAGCTTGGTTGGGTGCATTACACCTTGTGAGAGGCCTTCAAGTGGGCTCACTGGGCCAGTTAAAGAGAGAGCTCTCTCCCACCAACAGCCCACATACGGAATTCTGACAAGCGGACTTCTCAGAACAGACTCTCCTGTGCTAGTGGTAGCAGGATGGGGCCTTTTAATGGGCATCAGCCAATCAAGGGGCCTCAGCTGGCCCACTGACAAACAGGCCCAGGTGAGGAGGCATCGACCAGGCCACCTGCTGGGTTTAACGTGCACAGCTTCCCCCCACCTCCCACCTGGTTGGGGAAGCATCAAAGTGAACCTATGCTGGAATATGAAGAAAAGTTGTACAAGTTAGCACAAACACAATGATCAGAAGTTGTGAATCTAGCTACAGACATTACAGGCATCTGATTCACAGCCAGCACCATTATTTAATCACATCCTGAATCATGCATTCTAACCCCCATGTTTGTTCCCATTTGTGATATTTTGTTTACATCTTACAAATCTCTTTCAGATCTCAAAATTCTGGGTTGGGGAAGACTTGCATTCAACTGGAGATTGGTTAGCTTCTTTAAGCCTTCCCAGCACCAGCCCTTATTCTGCAGCACCTGATGAGATATGTAACAAGAAAAATTTATCTTTTTGTTTTATTCATTCACGGAATATTGTCGCTGACAAGGCCAGTATTTGCCCATCTCTAATTGCCTATAAGAAGGTAACAATAAGCCACCTTCCTGAACTACTCCAAATTGTGTGGTGTAAATATACTGACAGTGCCATTAAGGAGGATTTCCAGGATTTGATCCAGCAACGGTGAAGAGTCAGGGATATAGTTCCAATTCAGGATAGGTTGTGGCTTGGAGATGAATTTATAGGTTTTGGTTTTCTCTTATGGCTGCTGCCCTTGTTCTTCTGAACAGTAGAACGTTTAGAAGGTGCTGCCGAAGCAGGCATGGTGATGAGGAGTGGTTGAGGACTCTGGGTCTGTACTCGATGAAATTTAGAAGGATGAAGGGAGATCTCATTGAAACTTACAGAATACTGAGAGGCCTGGATATGGTGGACATGGAGAAGATGTTTCTGTTAGTAGAAGAGACTATAATTTGAGGGCATAGCCTCAGAGTGAAGGGGCAACCCTTTAGAATTGAGATGTCAAAAAGTTTCTTCAGTCAGAGAATGGTTAAACTGTGTGAGTGTATGTTTGAGACAGAGATGAATAGGTTCTTGAGTAGGAAGGGGATCAAGGGTTACAGGGAAAAGGCAGGAGAATGGGATTTAGAAATAGATGTACAGCTGTGATCAAATGGTGGAGCAGACTCGATGGGCTGAATGGCCTAATTCTGCTCCTATATCTTATGTTCTTACTTAAGTGATGCATTTTGTAGAACGTACATTCTGTAGCCACCATGCATCAGTGGTGAAGAGAGTGGATATTTAAACTGGTGGCTGATGTACAAGTTAAGCATGTTGCATTTTTGTGAATAGCGTCGAACTGCTTAAATGCTGTTGAAGCAACCTTTATGCAGAAAGTGGTGAATATTACATCATATACCTGACTGGTGGCTTGTAAATATTTTAGTGAGTCAGAAGGTGAGATATTCACCACAGAATTCTCAACCTCTGACCTGCACATGTAGTCACACTGTTTTTGTGGCTGGCTCAATTAAGTATTGGTTAGTCATGAGCCCCAGGATGTTGCCAGTGGGAGACTCAATGCAATTTCATATCCAGGGGAGATGGTTAGGTTCTCTCCTTCTGCGGATGGGCCTGGCACTTGTGTGGCATGAAATTTACTAAGCAATTATCAAAGTTATCAGTCCAAGTTGAGCGATGTGTAGGTCTTGCTCACATGACTATAGACACCTTCAGTATCTGAAGAGACATGAATAGAACCTGAATGTTGTGCAATCATCTGGGAGCTTTCCTGTTATCAACCCAACAGGGTTGGCGCCACTATTGTAGCCATTATGGAACAGCTTGGCTTGGATCTTATCTAGTTCTGGAGCGCAAGTCTTCACCATCCAAGGTGTCGGGCCCCAAACTATTGCTGTATCCAAATTGCAATTCGGAGGCATATAGGTTTATACTGTTGTAAGAGAGAATTTCACCTGTTTAGAGCTGGAGCTACATGGTGCAGGCAGATGCCATATTCATGTCCAAATAATGCTTCCATAGTAACAAGGGGAGGGATCTTTACCTATGAACCAAAGTGTTCCTCATCCTTTGAGCATCACAAAAATAAAAAATGAAAATATTGTGTGCTATTTGAGTAGCCTCCAGCAGTGCCATTAAAAAAACAAATTAAGATAAGAATTAATCAGGCAGTTCAACACTGACGCAGTGGCTCAGTGGCTAGCACTGCTGCCTCTCCCGGTGCCAGGAACCTGGGTTTGATTCCACCCTTAGGCAACTGTCTGTATGGAGTTTGCACATTCTCCCCGTGTTTGCGTGGGTTCCCTCCGGGTGCTCCGGTTTCCTTCCACAATCCAAAGATGTGTAGGTTAGGTGGATTGGCCAGCTAAAATTGCCCAAAGTGTTCAGGGATGTGTAAAGTGGGTTATAGGGGGATGGGTGTTGGTTGTGATGCTCTGAGGGCCGGTGTGGACTTGTTGGGCCGAAGGTCCTGTTTCCACACTGTAGGATTCTATGATCTATGACCTAACTCAGTAGTTGCAGAGTACAGCAAACATAATAGAAAACTCATTAAAAATACCCTCATGCCTGAAACAGTCAACCTGCTCACCTAAAGACCTCTCCCTGAATAGCAATAGCTAGAATACCAATAGAAACAGAATAGGAAGTGCCCAGAGACGATTTTCAGGCCACTGCTGCTCCACTTGTCATAGTAAAATCATTCATCATTTGTTTTTACTCTTCAGCCATGGGGTTATATTTGCAGTTGGTCTTCTGTCTATCTGTAGCTTGATGCAACTGTTTTACTTCAAGATATTATAAAATTAGCACTATGTAAAAATCTATCATGAAACTACAAACAAATTTAAAAGAGGGATGTTGTAAACTGTGGTTTCATCGCTCAGAGCTAAATTATTAACTTAAATTGAGAAATTCAATGAACTGTTTGAGTGCACAACATTACATCAGTGCCAATTCCTATATCAAAAAAAAACTGAATTAACTATGACTGCCATTTTGACTAATAATTTGTTTCTCTTTTTTCCAGTGCCCTTTTCCGTGGTAATTCAGATGTTGATCAATTAGGAAAAATTTTTGAGTAAGTTATCAGACTTTTACATTGAAGTTACATCATGATTGTGGATTGAAATAATGGAATTAAGGGGAAAGTGGGTTTACCTGCTGTACTCATTGTCAAAATGTTTTGCTTAGATTTGGCTAACTGCATTTCTTTAATCATGCAAACAAAGTCATACTTTAAAAGTGACCTGGGATTAGCAGGTTACGATTATCAGCTTTCTTAAAGAGCTGCTGGGTTTCACAGCTACAGCCAAGCTACTAAGTGCTTTTCTATTTTTTAGATTATTCTTCCCCTAGTCCTTCTTTAGAGGACTTGGACCAACAGACAATGTATCAAATGCCTTCCAATCTCCCCTTTTATCCACAGTGCATGTTACTTCTCCAGAGAAGTGTAATAAAATAATCATGATGGCCCTTTTGACAAAATCATGCTTATTTTTCCCAATTACCTTGAACTTGATTAACAATAACTTGCTCAGTTTGGGTTCTACAAGGGCTGCTCAGTTCCTGACCTCATTACGGCCTTGGTCCAAACATGGACAAAAGGAAAGCACTTGAGAACTGAGGTGAGAGTGACAGCCGTTGATGCAAAAATAAATAAATAAGCAACCGTTTTTATCGTGTTTCTTGCAAATTGTCCTGATGTGTGCAAGACAAAAGCCTTGAAAAAAATGTATCTTTTTTCAACAATACGCAAATACTTCAATTGCGATCACTAACATAACACTAACCACCACAAATCCTTGTCCTGAATATTTATCTGTAATTCCTCAAATTCCACATTGGTCATGATGGACTATTTCAGATTTTCTGTCTATGCCAGTTTGTGTATGTTCTCTGCTGCTCCTGCACTAGGCAGAGAAGTAGTACTGTAAAAGGAAAGTGCAATTTCAAAGTAATTTATGATGTTGCCCTTTGGCTGAGGATTTGCAATAAAAGTAGAGTGAAAACATCAGTGCTCACCATTATTGGACAGTAACATCGCCAACTGTACGTGCTCTGTTAAATACTGAAATCAGGAAGTTGCTGTTCAAGTTGCCTTGCTGCTACAGAAACCTTGCAACAGTAGTATCTCGGCATTCATTCAGATGAAGGTCATGATGTTGTGGACATTTTTGTAAGGGAGATGGAGTATAATATTTGGGAAATCTTGCTACAACTCTCCAGGACTTTGGAAAGACCACAACTAGAGTATGGCATAAAATTTTGTTCTCCTTATGTGAGGAATATATTTACCTGGGAAGCAGGTCAGAGACATCACTAGATTGTACTAGGATGAAGAATGGTTGAGCCAATACTCGTGGGAAGAATGACAGTCAATCTTATTGAAATATAAAGGATTTTGAGACAACTTCACAGAGTAGATGCTGAGAGAGGGTTTCCATTGATGAAAATCCTAGAACAAAAAAGGCATAGTTTCATAATAAGGGGTCACCCATTTACTACAGAGATGAGGAGGAAATTCTTCCCTGAGGGTTATGAATCTCTGGATGTTTCTATCCCAGAAAGCTTTGGAGTCTGACTTATGTATGCAAGTTGAGCTAGACAGATCTTTGAACTGTAGTGGTGTCAATGAAATTGGAAAACAGGCAGGGAGGTGGAGTTGAGGCCAAAGTCAGATCAACCATGATCCTCCTGAATGACAGAGCATGATGAAGGGGCCACATGGCCTCTACCTTCTGTTTGTTTTTTGTGTTCATATATGGTACAAACTATAGAAAAGTTCATTTTTCAATTCAAGTGCAAGCCAATCTGTAATGACATGATAAATCTTAATCCCGAACCACCTCTCTTGTACTGAAAATTGTACTTTGCAAGTGTGAAGTTTTATTCCTTCAACATTTTAATTCTTGGTGAAGATTTAAAATTTGAAAATTCTTCATTTTTCTTAGCCTCATTTATTTCTCTTTCAGTTCTATCTTTCCTTTCCTTTCTTTAATGTTTGTTCTATGTACTGGACCTGTAATTGTATTTCACATGTCCTAGTTCAGACTTTATGCGATCTTGTTTGATAGCAGAGAGAAGACTTCTGGTCTACCAGATGTCATCACTAAATCCTAATGATGAATACCAAAATTAATATAAGATCAATACATAAGAGTGCAGCAACAAAACGAAGTTGGAATAAGTTATTCCCAAATTAAGATAGGTTTATTGGATTCCGATCCTTGTTTGACGACTCTACTGGCCTCAACAACATTTGAGTTTTAAAAGGGAAGATGATATTGCCAGTTATATATGTATTAGATTATATCTAACTCAGCATCAGAAGCAAGTAAGCCAAATTCCTTAAATTAACAAATACAGAACTAGTCTATTACAAAACACTTACTAAAGCCAAGATGCAAAAATTATTAAGAAAATGCTTAAATTGTACAGATATGTCCAGCTACCATTCTTTAAAAGTAACACACACAACTTCCTTCAAGCCTGCGGAATAATATAAAACTCAGTAGTGTATTTTATGCCATACTTATCTTACAAGTACTTTGGACAAGTAACAGTTAAATTTAGGAAAAAATTATTATTCACAAATAATTACAAATGCTGATTTGCAGCTAATGTCACTTCCCACACAAATTGTTAGCACTGGGGTGGGTTTCTTTCTGGATCAGTTATGGCTGATTGAAGTTACTTTTCTTCGAGACAGTGTTGTATAGGTTCAGACTTCTCCTTTAGCAATGATAAGGTCTTACAGTGGATTTTCAATTCTCAAGCTTTGATGTGAGGAGTTTCAGATAAAGAGAGAGGGCAAAGGCTGTTTCTCCTGCAGCACGTTTTCTGTGTTCAAAACCAATACGCTTTACACCCACAGATTGAATCATATAACTTGCAGTATTGCAATCAGCTTGTGTTCTACGCAAATGCAACACTTCTGCTGCTGTAACTTGTTTCCTTTGTTTGAAGTGTTTTTTTTTTCCAAAAAATTGAAGTTATATGTATGTCTAGCTATTGATGAACATTAGTATTTCAGATAACACAACTTCATACCATGTGATGAAATCTCCTACTATTAATTTTAGGCAAACCCTTTGTGAAGGACAGGTCAAATTAGGTAGAGAATTCAAAATGGAAGATTTTGGGCAGTGTGATCTGTAGAAGCAAAATAACTGCATTTTCTGAAAGTCTGCAATGAAAGCAGTAAGTTCTGGAAATAATCAGTGTATCGGGCAACGTTTCTGGAAAGATAAACAGAGTTTCTGTTTCAAAGCTGTCATAAATTGAAGATTTCATTAAGAAATGCTGCAATAACTCTTGCCTGTTTAAGCTGTGTGTGCAGCCCTGGTTGCATATGTTGCAAATTCAAGTGCAGTGTTAGGGGAGCCATGTCACATACACTTTGCATTAAATTTTGTGTAAAGTGCAAATTCATAAACTATTATTTTCTTAGAGTCATTGCTTAGTGCTTGTTGTACAGCAGCATAGTACTGACCTATAATTCTCGTCTGATTTCAATCTCAAGAAAGAAGTAGAATGACATTACAGGATCTAACCATCTACTCATTTGGATGAGGGAATCTCATTTAAAAACCTACAACATTCTAATAGGACTAGGCAGGTAAATGCAGGAAGGATGTTCCCACTGACTGGGGAGTCCAGAACCAGGGTTCACAGTCCAAGGGTATAGGGTAGGCCATTTAGGACTGAGATGAGGAGAAAATTCTCCACCCAAAGAGTGGTGATGAGCCTGTGGAATTCTCTGTCACAGACAGCAGTTGAGCAAAACATTTAATGTCTTCAAGATGGAGTTAGGTGTATTTGTAAGTGCCAAAGGGATCAAAGGTTATGGGACAAAACTGGGAACAAGATACTGAATTGGATGAACAGTCATGATCATATTCAATGATGAAGCAGATTTGAAGGGCTGAATGGCCTGCTCCTGTTCCTATTTCCTATGTTTCTATCAGTTTAAAATGAGAAGGGTTATCCATCCACACTTCTCAGTCCAACGATAATAGACTAGCAATATAGGAGGCTAGCAAAAATGTGGATACTTGGGAGCACTGCACAAAAAGTTCTACAAGCCACTTTACTCCACCTCACTGACATGCATGCGTTCAGTATATCATTACGTTGCCTATCTGTACTGCCACACACTACTGACACTAATGTGCCAGTGAGTGTATTATAACAGGCAGCATAAATCCTCCCCAAAATTGACAGCACAAAAAGTGGATCAGAGTAAAAAACAAGCTATAAATTATTGGAGCAACATTCTGCAGGCAGGTCAGATTTGGAGTGAGACTTATTCCTGACTGACAAATGCACCCTGAAACTATCTAAAGTCCCAAGGTCATGGTCATTTACATGGGAACCTAGGAGCTATCCACAGTAGGAGGGGCACTATACTCACTATAAAACTCGGAAAAAATGCACATTTTTAAGCCTGCAAACTCCATTTCTATCAGGATTATGTATGCTTACATAAGGCAGATATTTTTAGTTTTGTAAACATTTGAGGCTGGCATGGAGGGGGTAAGAGTGGGGGAAGCAGTTGCAATGTGATACCTGCACAGACAGGTTTGACATTGGAATTTCAGATAGAGACAACACATATCTAATATTTGCCTCAAATTTCTCCACCATTCACCGGAATGTCCTGAAATCATATTTCCAGATTAGAAGAATTGCCAGGCAAACTTTCACTAATTGGTTCTTATTCTTTCAAATTGGATAATAAAACTATTTAAATATTTTGTTCTGTTGAGTGGATGTGAGGAATGTTGGATCAGCCATGATCCTATTGAATGGGAGAGCTGCCTCAAGTGGCCGAACAGCCTACTCCTGTTTCTAATTCTTATGGTCTTATTATAGTGACTGAGTCTTAGCACAAATACACACATCTCATGCATTTATTGTTCTCATTACAGCAACATCGATTTTATTAAAGTATTTAAGGTCATTTGTACAGCACATTTGCTTTTTGGTAACGGAGATTACAGAAGTGTTACTTTTTCCAGTGGTATTTGACAAATATGACAAATAGTTTAGCAAAAGGGATAAACAGTGCCTTCCAGTGGCACATCCAAGAAACTAAATATAATTCCTCCAAATTCTAACTAGTAATATAGGGACAACATTTTGTCAGAGACAACTCTGAGGGTTTCATGTGAAGGTGTTGAGTTTACTCATTACAAATATAACCTTGCTGTCAGGTATTGTTTTATTTTATTCTAACACTTAACTTACTAAAATAATTACTGCGCAGTGCCAGTAAAGCTGCCTTCTACAGTAGGGGAACAGGGTTGTTTCAGACCTGACTTACATTGAGAAAACTATCAAAAAATTTTAAAGTAGCAATAGTATGGTTATTTGAACATTAATAATTGTATGCACCAATATGGGGGTGATTGATTTATTGATTAATTTACTGTTGTCACATGTACCGATATACAGTGAAAAGTGTTGTTCTGCTTGCTGTACGGGCATATCGTACTATACAAAGTACGTCAGGGTAGCAGAACAGAGTGCAGAATATAGACTTACAGCTGTTGAGAAAGTGCAAAGAGAGAGAGATCAGAATTAACATTTGAGAGATCCATTCAAAAGTCTAATAACAGTGAGGAAGAAGCTATTCTTGAAACTATTCGTATGGGTATTCAAACTTTTATATCTTCTGCCCTTCAGAAGAGGGTGGAAGAGAGTATAACCGGGGTGGGAGGGGTCTTTGAATATGTTGATTGCTTTCCCAAGGCAGCAGAATCAAGGCTTCCAGGCTAATTCTCTTGAGGCCAAGTTTGAATCCTACCACTGATGGGATTTAAATTCATGTAACAAATCTGGAATTGAAAATCTTGTCTCAGTGATAGTGACCATGAAGTTACTGTCCATTGTCTGCATGACCAACACGAGACTCCCCAAGCAGGTGCTGTAATCCCAGCTTTGAAATGGAAGGCAAGCCCCAGGTGGACAGAGGAATCACTTCAGTGATACCCTGAAGGGATCACTGACGAAATGCAACATTCCCACAAAATGGGAATCACTGGTGCAAGACTGTCCAAAGTGGAGGAGGAGCATCTGGGAAGGCATCTAGCACCTGGAGACTTGTCGGGAAAAAATGTAAGACAGGCGAAAACAGCGAAAGGAGAGTGCTGCTACACCAATGCCTCACCCACCCCTTTCTGTAACCACCACCTGCCCCAAATTTAACAGAACCTGCCGTAGCCACATCAATCTTTACAGCCACCTACGGACTCAACTGAGAGTGGAAGAGAGTCATCCTCGCCTGCAAGAGATCACTGATGATGATGACTATCCATTGTTGTAAAACCCATCTGGTTCATTAATGCTGACCTTGCATGTCTGGCCGACTTGTGCTCCAGCCCCGCACTAATGTGGTTGGCTCTTAACTGGCCTCTGAAATGGTCTGCTAGGCTACTCAGTTCAAGAGCAATTAAGGAAAGGCAACAAATGTTGGCGTTGCTATCAATGCTCAGATTCCATGAAATAATAAAAAAAAGTCTGACTGCCTCTAATTTAATTCCATTATACTCTTCTTATTGCTTAAGCCTGTTACAGCTGATTTTATGATGTAGGTAACATCCATTGTTACCGCGCCAAAGGTCAGGTTTCTATATTAATAAACAAATGGAATGGCTACTTTTTCATAAAGATATTCAAAAAGCTACAGTCACACTGTCATTTCTGAGACTGAATTTTTTTTTAGCAGATTGATAGTTACAGAGAAGAACACAGCTTTTCATAAAAAGAGGGATTTCTCACTTGTTACCTGACTGATTAAAGAATGACTGTTCACCTCTCCCTTGCTGTGAGAAAAGTTCAAAAAACTTTCCCAATCAACTTAAGGCTTCTCTGAAATAGGGTAATATTAATTCATATTTGACATACAGCAGCCTGTCCACTCCTTTGGGGTGAAATCACATGTTGCGTGGGGGAAAAAGAACAAAATGGAGGAATTAGAGTTAAATATCTCCCATTATAAAATATAGCTTCAAACCAATGAATTATTGTAAATGTGATTTTGTTCTTAAATTCCTTTTGCACCAAAGTTAAAGTATTGTCTGTTCATACAGTGTACTTGGTCTTCCAAGTGAGGATGATTGGCCTCGAGATGTGGCGCTACCAAGAGATGCATTTTCAACACGATCTCCACAACCAATACAGGACTTAGTGCCAGAGATAAATGAACCAGGGAAAGACCTGCTGCTGGTATGCTTGTGTTCATATATTCTTCATTCACAAAAATTAATTGTATTGTTAGCAAATCCAATTTTTATTATTGAAAACTGAGAAATCAACATGAAACTTTACCAATATGCATGATTTTTCTCAAATAGTGGACATCCATGAATTTACTGATTTTAAGCTCTGCATTCCTTTGTTGAAAGATTATGGCTAGAAATTTCTTCAGAGTTATTGTTTTGCTGCTGTTACTCGAGCTTTGACAAAAATGCATTTGACTAATCTTGAGCTAATTGTAACTTGGTATTTTATTTTTAATCTGTTTGTTTCTTTTTTATAAAAAACAGAAATTTTTAACCTTTAACCCAGAGAAGAGAATATCTGCTTTCAGTGCACTGTCTCATCAATATTTTATGGACCATGAGAAATACACTGAGAATCAGAACTTGTGTCTGTCTCCAAACCAGTCATCTTCAGAGGGGAACACTGCTTAACATCTGCTAGAAGAGCACAAGGCTGCAAGATGTGCTGATTTCTTAGGCGATTTCATTTGTCAAGCATTGAATTCTTGGTCAGACATTATACTCTCGCAAAGATTACTTGACAACTCAAATATTTTACAGTATGACACAATCTCATCAGTATGCTGCTTTTAAAATATGCCTCTTATTTGTGCTTTCTTGATTATATAACCCATTGGAGGTTTACTGTTAATGAAACAATGCAAAAACTGTTGCGGCTCCCCCGCCACATCCTCCCTATCCATCCTGCCCCAGGAAATTTCTGGACTCAGTTAGCTGCTGTCTATTCACAAATGCTGCAAAAGCTTGTTACCTGAATATGGCGTGCTGCAAATGTGAAGTATTTGGAAAAATGGGATAAAGTCACTGCCAAACTACCGAATACAGTCACTGCCAATCCTGCCAGAGTTTTTTCTCCAGCTGCTATGGCCAGAATTTGAACGTTAAAAGATAAGGCATATTAAATGTCCTCACTGAAGAATGTAGTTTTTTTAAAATGATCCTTGAATAATAAACCATTAAAAGTGAAATGTATTTCTTCAACCATTCACCCAAGGTGCTGTGAACATTTGGGTATCAACAATCTTTTATATCAACAACTATGGAAAAGTTTCAGAAGTGATTGCTGTGGCATTAGCTGGAACAAAAGATTTAACAGAACAGTTGGAATTTATAGAACTGCTTCATATTGTGCAAATAAGAAGGAACATTGTTTTTAAAGAATCATGACTACTTTTTTGCATTTATACAAGATGCTTGTTTTAGATGGTATTTTTATATAAACTGCAACAGAAGACAAAGCAGTGAATTTGGAAAAATATATCTTAAGAATTACAAGATGCTTAACGTATATCAGTATGTTTAAATGCAAAATGAAAAAGCTAGTGAACGAACCACATGAATTTTCAATTTATGATGTTTTTCAAATTTCACAGGAACACTCCTCCATACCTAGTACTTGCAGGACATTATGAAGAAGTAATGTGTGTTCAACTTGGGGTTGTCACAATTTGCCAAACTTAAAACTGGATAGACACGTCTAGGGACACGGTCAGCATGATGTAATCTTTGTTCTTTTGTTGATGAAATTTAGTGGAAACTTGTATAGGCTCGGTAACTGATTCTTGCAGATAAGAAGTATATTAAAAATTAAGTTTCAGTGTAAAAAATATGACGTGACAAGTTTACGTTTTGGAAATTGCCAGATAAAGCAGACTGGCTGGGGCAAACTGGATGGAGGGCATCCCAGTCAAACTGCAATGTTACAGATGAGTGGATATGTACCCCATTGTAGTTGAATAATTGTGGTGTAATACAGCACTGATGAAATGACCTAACCCAATGCGTATTGGTATCTTCCTTATAAACTGTACTGTAGCAATTGTGTTCAAGTGGAAAACCATCAGCTTCAGATGACTTTGACAATATAGATTGGTAATCATAAAGTACTTGTATTTAGCATATAAATCTGGATTAATGTTGAATCAGCCTCAAGAAACAATTTGTTTCATATAGTGGCTAATATTTATGTTTTCCTTTGAGATAGACTTGCTTTGGTAAGGTATCGTTGCTGAATGGCTTTTAGGACCCTTTATTATAAAAAGGTGAAAGAAAATAAGTACATCTATCACATATTAAAACACTGCAGTTTACAAAAGCTAAAACGTGGTGAGAAAGGCATATTTACTTTGATGTATTATGAATAAAGAGGGTTTATCTTGTTAAAGTATCATAATATTGCAAGTGACTTATATATAACAAGTTGTGCAACTAGTCTTGATGTTTCAGTGACTGATGAAAAGCAAACAAAATATTGATTAGAATAGACTTTGGTGTTGATGAGGTATATCTTTAACTTCAACAACTAGGAAATGCATGTGTTAAGGCTAATGTCAGTACAGATGAATCTTGTGCACCAGCACAATCTGTAAATATTGCTTAAAATTCATAATGGGGATAATTTTAACCTATATTTTAACAAGACATCTATATTAAACTGAAGCTATAAACTTTCTAACATGTCGAATTCAGGGGAATTAATAACGTTTGAAATGTATCTATATGATACCAACATTCAGCAACTAATTTGACTATGGTGCTTCTAGATAATATTTTTATCTTTCAGGACTGCTCTAGGGTTGTACTTTCTAAGATAGGTGAGGTGGATTTCTAGCAAGTATCTTCCTTCCTATTGTAATAAAGTGTTTTTTTTTGCCTTCAGTTAAAATCATAATTGTTTTTAAACGCAATGCCAATATAAATAGACCACTGTCTCCAATAGAAAAATAACCATGAAAAGCAGAGAGGTAAATGAATGGGTCAGCAAAGAGGAGGAAAATAAAATTCAAAAGAAACAGCAAGTGGTATAGGGAACAGTTCCTGTTTAGGGGGACAGATGGTTGTGGTTTAATTTATTTATGAAATAAAGATAATGTCACCATAGACCTAGATGACCAGAGAGGAGTTGTGTCATAGAAAGAGATGACAGGTGTACATGCAAACTGAGGGTTACCACGCAGCAGGCAAGGGGAGAGTTTGAGAAGGCAGAACCTAACTGGTAACCTTAGCTGGTGTGGGAATTGAGCCCTTGCTGTTGGCATCACTCCGCATCACAAAGCAGCCATCCAGGTCCTATTATTATCCAAGTCCTGCTTTCAAAGCTGTGTTACTTTACCAGTGCGTTTTCATTTCAGGGCAATAAGTAATGAACAGTATTGCAAAACAAACATGTTTAATAGGTTGCTATACTTTCTTTCGTATGTTGCAGTGCCATAGTCCCCTCCTCCAAACTGTGATTCTCACTACCACATCTCACTCCTGCCCTGCTTTCAGCATATCGTCAAAGTCCCATTCCTGGGTTTAAAAAAAAGTCTTAATGCCATTACTGTACTTTTGGATGTCAGCTTTTTTTATTTTTAACAGATACACAACAATGAGACAGACCAACGCTCATAGCAGTTACAGTATTGTTTGGTTTCCTACAAGCAATGTAACAGAGTTTTATAGAGGTTGCCTCAAGTTCTATTTTACGTAGTCAACTTTATGTCTCAAACTGAAAAAAGATTCCTAAGCAATAGGTACGTTATATATTACTATTTTCACCATTTGCTTAATAATTGGAATGCTGTAAGGTGTATTTCCAAATAAATTGCAAAGAAACTTGTAGCAGTGGAGATCCCATGTTTCATAGCTCATAAAACCAGAAAAACTTGTTTCTTTTTGCAGTATGTATCAAAAATAGAGCTTTACTTCTGTACACAGGTAGATTTATATTTCAAACTCCGAAGTTTCTATGCAAAATGTTCAGTTAGGGATTTCATGGGTTGCTGTCTATTGAACAAATCATCCAGTGAAGTTTGTGTCTGGTGAATATCTCTACAGAATCAAGGTAACCCAGATATGATGTACAGTATCCCTTGACTCTATTGTCAATCAGCCATAGTTGTGTAGTTCAGGCTATAAACCAATGACAGTCATTATAGTGTATAATAAATTACATCTTAATTGGCTGCCTTGAGACTATTGTATGTTGCTTTCTCATAAATTGCAAGTAAAACTCAGTATCTTGTGGCCTTAACATCCATTAATTTGGAAGTTTTCTGTACTGTCTTCAAAATCTAGCTTAATCAGTGGATTAGATTGACATTGCAGTTAAAACCATTCCAAATAATGCAACTAAACACTGCTGTACGTAGCAAATAAAACTGCAGGCCAAGCGCTACAGTGAAATATATCTAATAATGATGCAATTCCTTACAATTAAATTTGTTTAAAAAAACATGCTGTAATAAAAAGGTTTAACAATTTAGACTTGACTTGCATTGATTTGATTTCATTAACCATTGTCAAACAAAGAATTTTGAAAACTACTTTTCATAAAGATCATGATCCTTTAACTATAGATTTATAATACTTGCATATAGCTAAAGAATGTTAACTGTATATAGAGCAAAATGGTGACTCTCAAATGTCTCAATTAATTTCACAACACTAATCTGATGTGCAGTTTTTAATTAGACTGTTGAGTTCTCTGAAACATTAGCCATAGATATTTGTTAATATTGATATAAATGTCAGTAGGTTCTGTTGGTGATAATTTTTTCCATTTGTGGCTACGATGTTTCAAATGTTTCAACGGCAAGGAATAGCACATACATGACAGTCAGTATAATTCACATCTTTTATGAAGATGCTGCAGTTAGAAAGAACATTTCCCCTTATTTCCCCTTAAATCTCAAAATCAATTTAACCATTTAAAATAAGTACTTTAGAAGTGTTTCTGTATCAAAAATTGTGTTTTAATGGAGTTCTGGGAAAAATATAGCAACTTGGTGTCAAGAAAGTCTGCAAAGAATATTTGTAAAGCAGAAATTGCTCAGTAAAACAAATGTAGTCACTCAGACTCTTAAAGATGAGAAATGAACTGTTGAAGCATATGATAATTACAGCTACCGATATCAGTTTGTTTTCTTGTAACTTTAATAAGTAAAATAATCATGCTGAATCTGTAATGTCTTACAATTTCTCATAGTTATCCAATTTTCAAATTAATCAATGTTCCAGAAATATGCTGCTCCTCCATAGACGTGATTTTGTATTGAGAGGAAGACAGACAAAGAATGTGATAAAAAGAGAATTGAGAATGAGTGTTAAAATAAACAAACAAGTATTGTATGAGCATTGGGAAGGTGAAGGAATTTTGAGAGTGGATAACAGTTGAAAACAAATAAGTAAAGCTAAAGTAAATAACATTACAGGAATCAAAGAGGTCAGGGTGTTTCAGAAAAATAAATGGTACATACAATACCCAGTGGTCTAAGCATTGACAACTGCAAACAGGAGAATTTAAAAAAAACAGAAAACACGGGCAAGTATTATACCCTTTCACAGAATGGGTAATATCCCAAAATTAAAATACAAGTGAGGAATTTGATATAAATTTACCAAGCATTTGTATGGTATCAAGCAAGCTTATTGTTAGTAAATGGAAAAAAATAACAACGGAACAAAATCGTGACTTTTGAGTAATATGTCACACCATTGACCATGACCATGTAATAATGGGTTAATAATGTGACCTTGTTTTTCAGCAGAGCACTATGGCTTCACATGTAACTGATTGCTGTTAAGAGTTTAAAAGGTTTGCAATGTTATGTAGGCTGCAATGTAAAATCATGGGGAAGGTTTGGTACAAAGCACTGCTCTAGTTTGGACAATTGTGGACTATGTACGAATTCAACATTAAGTGTTAATTGTTCTTATTGTATATATGCAGTTTTAGAATAATTGTTAGATATGCTGATTAGTTCAATGAGATAATGAAAAGCTGGACCAGGAAGGCCCCAAATTCAGTTTCCACTGCATGCAGTCGCAGCTGGGTGGAAATATGAGACACTACATTTATGTTGCGTATCCATGGTTAGCAAAGAGAAAATCAACTAGGATTCCTATTTCTGACCAATAACCAACAACTCCAAAATCAAATAAGTGTGTGATTGGCAGGTGAAACAGTATTCTGTTTAGTGATGAAAGCCTACAATATTCACAATGAAGGTTCTCACATTAGCACCTGCAAAACGAATTCATTTTAACTGCATGATTATTTACAAGTTGGGTAACTGAGGCAGTTCCATCAGAAGTTTCTTTTGCAGATCTTACACCCATAGATTGGAATTTCAGAAAATACTAATTTTAGCCAAAAATTGAATGGAAAAGTGGGCACTCCTGCTGCCATTTCATATTGGTCATTAAATATGGTGAAGGGACATGTATTCTATCAGACTTTACCTTTTATATGTTGTCCTATTGCCAAAAATACATTTTTTTCCAGAGTAGCTATAATTACAAAGGTAAAACCTCCCATCTTTGTGAGAGAGAGAGAATAAATGAATCCTCAATAGAAAAAGATATCAGTGACACAGATGCAGCATTTTCCAAGAAGCACTTTTAAGGAATAAAATAACTCCTGAAGAGTTGTGACTAATATTTAAAGCTAAATAATGTGAAGAAGTTTCCAATGTCGGTGCAGAAAATTAAGAAAAAATATACTTTGTATAAATTGCAATTCCACAATCATCAATGCTCGTCTGAAAATATTTTTTTTCCAAACCTGTCCTGCCCACAAAACTAGAGACTCTAGATTGAAATAACAAGGGTGATAAATTCACCACTTGCGTCCATTTGCTAAGTGTGCCAATTAGTATCTTTAAATGCAAAAGAAAAAAGCCAACAGTTGTATTCTGTTGTGCTGACTATTCGCACTGATTCATGGATGATTTTGTTTGATTATGCAAATTTATTTTAGCCGAAACTTGAACTTTAACCTAACCTGTGCAGTCTAAAGCTTATTTCCTAATTGTGCCCAAAGGAGAAACTCTGTTTATCTTCAATATTGTGTTGAAGAGTGAGAGTTCTGCTGGTACTATATTCCTGTACATAATACATCATGTCAAAGTAAAAAAACAAATTTCAACAAAGCACAATCTTGACAACATACTTTTAAATTGAATTATTTGTTATTTATTCAAAAATATGTGTCACCTAAAGCAGGGGTATTGTTTAAATCTGTTAAATAACAAAATTCATTTTACTGTGAACAGTGATTTCAAACCTTGAAGCTAAATTATACTTAGATTAATTGACATTTGAATAATATCTGGCCAGTTTAGAATATTGACATGTCATAATAGAACTGCTATAAACTCAAATGTTGCAAAACACATAAGACACACTGCAATCTTTATTTGTGAATTTAAGCTGCAGTCGTAACAAATGCTTATCTGATTCAACATATCATGGCACTTTATAATTTTGACTGTGCCTGTATCAGTCATAAGATTATGAATTGTGTTATACGCTACAGTTTACCTTGCATTCAGCATTGATGTATTGCAGCTGTTAAGCTGTTACTTCTGTGAGCTAACACTCAGGAGTATGATATTTGTTTTATATCTGAAAGTATCATTGAAGGTATCCAATTGACTAAATCAGAAGCTGATCTAATATCCGTTAAAACACCAAAATTTACTATGGACCAGGTATGAACAAAATTCACACATCATACTACAAGTTGAATTTGCAACTTACAGTGAGTGGAACACTTTGCTAATTAATGCATATTTATGCATTTTAGCATAAATACATTTGAAGATGTCCCATTGACTACAATCATTATTGTTTATTAAATGTCACTAAAGTTTTTTTCCTCTGTTTTACACTGAATTGAGTCAGAATTCTAGTGTTTTACAAAAAAAGAAATAAACTAGCTTGTGTGCACTCAATCAATTTCCTCAAGTTAACGCTGCAAAAATGAATCCCAGTACATAGCTGAAATAACTAAATTTTGATTTAAAACTGCTTTATAAATTTAAGAACTAGGAGCAGGGGTAGGCAATTCAGCCACTCCAGCCTGCCCCGCTATTTCAAACGATTCTGGCTGTACTCATCTTGGTCTCAACTCCACTTTGCTGCCTGCTGTCCATAACCCCTCAACCCATTACTTATTTAAAATCTCTGTGTATCTCCTTAAATTTACTCAGTGTCCTAGCATCAGAAGTAGATTCCAGATCTATGGCTCTTGAGAGAAGTTATTTCTCCTCATCTGTTTTACATCTGTTCCCTTTATCCTAAAGCTATGACCACTTGTTCTCAATTGACCAAAATGAAAAAACCTCTTTTCTACACCTACTTTGTCAATCCCTAAAACAGGTTGCTCATATTTAGTAATTTAGCCACACCAACACATTTTTATGTTCTGATGCCCTGACATTCCAATAGTTACAATTCCAATTTCATGTAATTAGATCACATCCAATATATCCATCCAGCCATAAAACTTGAGAACTTTGCAGGTTTAAGGGGAGAACATCTTGTTTTAATTAAATAACCATTTAAATTCATTCCTTAAGTCCATTTACTACATCTCCACAAAAGCTCCCACATTCTTCGTATCCTTGATCTGGCTAATATTCCTGTCAGCATTGTGAAAATAGAAACATTTTTCAAAAATGCTTTCGATTCTCATGGTGCTTATGGCGGCCAATATGCCTTCATTCAAGATACTGCACGCTACATAAATGCTGGTTCCCAACTGGAATGAGGACAGGAACTCCATAATGAGTATACACTTGCAGCTTAGCGTATTCCTCCCCACTGCTATTTGTCTCATCCAGAACAGGTAGAAATTCCACCCTTTATTCTAGGGAAGAGCAAAAATGTAGCAACTGGATCTCCATCGACTCCCTGGTTCTCCCTGGAGTTATGGCAGGAGGCTGGTAAAACACCTATGATATTTCCAACATATTTTCTAGAGCATGGTCACTTTGGGTCCGCCACGTATTTAACCAACGTACAGATATATATAACATTAGTAATTTTGTCACTTTCCCATGCCCTTTAACAAAGACCTTTTCTGTATAGACTTGTATGACAGATGAATCTTCAACCTACAAATTAAATTGAATTAATTTGTAAAACTTATTTTTGATTAAACAATGTTATGTTGGATCAAATTATATTTATATGTTCAAGTATCTGTATGACTGGTCAAGCTTGCAAAGCAGGTGGTTAGATTAGTATGAACACCAAAAATGTTCAATGGAACAAATATGATTTCATATTTATAGTATTTTTGTTTGTAATAGCTTTGTTCTTAGAGCATTCCTGATTCATGTTTGCTGCTAAATTTATGCCTTGCCTGGGTCTACAACTTAGAATGTCTTAAATAGGGAACAAGATTGCATTGGCAAAATACACCAATGCTAATGCTGCTTGTGTTGGGTGGACTTTTGCTGTCTCTACCTTATGTTTTACTTTAGCTTGAACTGTTCTTAGCTGCTAAATCATATTTTGGAAATAAATAAATATTGTAGTGTGTACCATACTGTGTAAAGGTGTGTTACTTCCAAAAGAATCTTTAATTCTGTAACTGGGGTATTAATAATAATGCAATTGCAATTCCAATGCCCGAATGCCATGGAATAATATCACATTTCTCAGTCCAGAATGTAAATAAAGTTTGGGGTTTCAGAGGACAGGGAGGGAGAGCAGCAGTAGTCAAAGGAAAGGGATAACCCATGTTCTTTAAAATGTAAAATCAGCTAAATACATTGCAAAAACTTACTATTTTGGTAGCAGACAGAGAGGCCAGAATTTTGTCGCGTTGACAATGGTTTCACTGCCGGTCGGAGAACCAAGTAAGTACTTCCCATCATCTCCATAGGGGATGCCTGAGGAAAACTTGTGTTCTTGAGTCAATGAATTTGTCACCAACACATCTCTACAACTGAGGTCCTAAGTGTTAGAATTCAGGCCTGCTGAGAGCTGCCACTTAGAGGCTAGCTGCTCATCAGCTACACTGACATGAAGGAAAGCGAGGCGGTGTAGCTCTGATATTTAAGGATGACATCAGGGCAGTAGTGAGAAATTATACAAATTCTACAACCTTTTTCTCCAGTGTGGGTGGAAATTAAAAATGGGGGAAAAGACATTGATAGGTGTAGTCTGTAAGCCACCAAATCATAACATTATGGCGGGGTGGGCAATAAACAAAGAAATAACCAATGCATGCAAAAATGGTATGGTAATTATCATGGGAGATGTTAATCTACATACTGATTGGTCAAAAACCAAGTCAGTCAAGGCAGCCTTGAGGTGGAGTTCATGGAATATATCTGTGATAGTTTCCTGGAACATATGAAATGGAACCCATGAGGGAGCATGCAATCCTAGATCTAGTCCTATGTAATGAGACAGGAATAATTAATGAACTCATAGTTAGTAATCCTCTCGGAAGAAGCGATCACAGTATGGCTGAATTTAAAATACCGGTGGAGGGTGAGAAGGTAAAATCCTAGCGACTTGTGTATAAACAAAGGAGACTACAATGGGACGAGGGTGAAGTTGGCTAAGGTAGACTGGGAGCAAAGACTGTATGCTGGGACAATTGAGTAACAGTGGAGGGCTTTCAGTGATTTTTCAGTGCTCAGCAAAAGTATATACCAATGAAAAGGAAGGACTGTAGGAAATGGGATAATCAACCATGGATAACTAAGGAAATAAAGGAGGATATCAAATTGAAAGCTAATGCATACAAAGTAGCAAAGATGAGTAGGAAACTAGGAGATTGGAAAATCTCTAAAGGTCAACAGCTCAAAATAAGCTATAAAGAAAGGTAAGATGGATTATGAAAGTAAACTAGCTCCGAGTACAATAAACAGCAAAAGTTTGTACAAATATATAAAATGAAAAAGAGTGGCTAAGGTAAACATTGGTCCATTTGAGGATGAGAAGGGGATTTAATAATTGGAAATGAGGAAATGGCTGAGGCGTTAAACAGATATTTTGTGTCAGTCTTCACAGTGGATGACACAAATAACGTGCCAGTAATTGATGACAAGGAGGCTAATGGTAGGTAATGACCTAGAAATGATCATTATCACCAAAGAGGTAGTATTGAGTAAACCAAAGGGGCTAAAAGTAGACAAGTCTCCTGACCCTGATAGAATGCATCCCAGGGTACTAAAAAAGATGACAGGGAATAGTAAACGCCCTATTGGTAATTTACCGAAATTCACTGGACTCTGGAGTGGTTCTGGCAGATTGGAAAACAGCAAATGTGACACCACTGTTTAAAAAAGGAGGTAGACAAAACGTGAGTAGTAGGCCCGTTACCTTAACTTTTGTAGTGGGGGAAATGTTTGAATCTATAATCAAGGAAGAAAGAGCAGGACATACAGATAGAAGTTGTCCCATCGTGCAGACACAGCGTGGGTTTGTGAAGACAGGTCCTGTTTATCTAATATACCAGAATCATTTGAGGACATCACACGTGTGGTGGACAACAGGGAACTGCTGGGTGTGGTGTATCTGGCTTTCCAGAAAGCATTAAACAAGGTGTTGCACAAAAAGGCTGCTGCATAAGATAAAGTTGCACAGCATTACAAGTAATGTATTAGCATGGATAAAAGATTGGTTAACTAACAGAAAGCAAACCGTGGGGATAAATTGAATCAGAGATAGTAGGAACTGCAGATGCTGGAGAATCTGAGACAACAAGGTGCAGAGCTGGATGAACACAGCAGGCCAAGCAGCATCATAGGAGCAGAAAGGCTGACGTTTCGGGCCTAGACCCTT